GGCGAAACTGGGAAGCCTCCATTCTTTTGAGAATGCTGCGCTTTGGGACACAACATATATTAAATGTGACACGCCTGACGGCATGCCACGTCTTTCCCCAGTAATTCAGATGGGAGACTGGTCTTCCATGAACCGCGCGTTATGTCCCATCGCAATATTTTCTTGTGACAAATTAGTCTGCCGCGGATATTTCCGGATAAGTGTGTGCATTCGCCTCCAAGTGAGAAAATACGATAGGAAATGTGGTAATCACTGTCGAACAACGCACTGTGAACCAGCGGATACAATTCTTTCTTTGTCGATGCCTCAATTTGAGAGGTTGTTATTGATTGCCTCTCTCATGTTACACGATATGTTTGATGTTCGTGCATTTTCACTCAGTATTTTCAGAGACGTTGTTGCGTGGTTCATGTCGTTTCGAGAAACTGCGTGCCACCAGTGTACCTCTCATATATTTCAGTTCGACCGACAGCTGCAACTTATGTTGCTCTTTCCATGTTGGCCATGAATATACGAGCAAGGGTAAGTGTGAAGGGATTTCTCACTGATGCTGCGTCCGTTTGGAGCGTATAATGGAGAAACTGTGTAGTTGATTGCACATGCATCTATGAAACTGTACGTGAGTTTCAAATGGGTTTTAAAGAATGGGATCTGCCTCCTTCTCCAAGTTGGATTGCATGGTGAATTCCCTTTCTATATCTGTTTGTGCTCCTTTTTTTCCTCTTACCAGCAGTAGCTTGATGAAGATTTGAACATAACTACTCTCCGGAAACAATGTCTGCTCTGTGACGCGAAGTATTGTTGAGCTGCTGCCGATCTTTTGCAGTTTTTGAAACATCTCCACAACTAACTCCTCTGTTGCTCGGAATGCTTCGAACTAAGGACCGTCTGAATTTTCCCAACAGTCATAGTAGCAGAGATATTCTGATCAGATGAATAAGCCATAGGCACTTTGCCCGCAGGTTTGGAAGGAGCCTCATCTGCAGCAGCCCTACACCACTTGTTTTATTGTGCTCTGAATCAAGCGATCCCAGCGAATGGAAGTCACAACATATCAACTATACCCCTTGAATGATGTTGCTTAGATTTCAATGGAAGGCGCCTGGAGCCCATGTATAACCGCTGCCACTTGGGCGATTACTCTTGCACTGTCTATTTGCAGGCGCTACAATAAGTATTCCCGGTGAAAATAATCCATATTCCTCTAAAACATAACATGGTGAAGTGTACTGATTTAGATGTTCACCTTGGTCATATAGCTGTGGATGGTTACTGATACCCCATGTCGTATATATGTGCCCTTTGTGGTTGGTAACGCTAGAATCTCGGGAGTTTCCTGATAAATAGACGGTCACATTGGTGTCTAACAAAATTCACGCGCGGACTAACAATATCGGCTAGTTATAATGCAAACCTCGAATACTGATTGCTTTTGATCCGAATGGTGAAACCGATCTAAGTGCTGCGTGGTATTAAATTCACATCCGGCTCATGAATTACAGCATGTTTTAGTGTCATTGCGCATACCAATGAATTGATGTGTGAATTATTTATCATCAACTATCATTTTATACACTTTCAAGAACTACCAAATTGATGATCCCCGTAAACCGGTATCTCCCACGCTAAATCCATTATCCGAAAATAAAAGTATTATTGTTATTGCATTAACTTATCATTACACGCACCGAAGTCACTTTTGTCATCACTATTGCTGGCTGTGTTGTGTCCAGAACGCTTGTGTTATGGTCTCCTTTGAACCTGGCGTACGAGTATTTCTTGAAATATGCCAAATATTTGACAGAAAACTATGGATTCACTGATGAGTCTTGAAGAGGCTCAGCTGCTCAACTGACCTACAGTATCCCGGAAAGTCATCGCTGGTAGTGGGTCTTCGACCCTGTAACCAAACTTTCCCTTCCCAGTTTGAAATGGTATTCCTCATGTATTTGTACCATCGTATCCATTCTGATGCAGAAGGGCTGCTTCAAGCTGTATGTAACAAATCGTGATATATGTGTTATGCGTAGTGTCCATACATTAGTTTCTGCGACACTATAGCTGGAGAATTTCGCTTACCTGAAATGATCACGGCACTAGACCCAGTTACAAGAAAACTAAAAAAAATTTATAACGGCACATCGGTAAGTTTTGTAAATGGTAGTGCCATCGCTGTAATTCTGATAAACCTGCATCGCAAATCCAGCAGATATTTATTTCACTGACATTACCGGACCGTCAATTATGTGGTATCATCTGTGTTAAAATACCTGGTGGTTTCATAAAACAGTTCGTGTGTTCCTGAACTCACTCAAAAAATATGCATTATCAACAACGCCTTTGCTTCAACTGGAGGCGTTGTGGTCACCTTCAGATTCTATGGACAACAACGAAAGAGGAAGGGAAACTCTATTTTCGAAATTAGTTGCTATACACCGTTCAACAAACTTCCTATCGTACTTTCTCACTTGGAGGCGAATGCACACACTTATCCGGAAATATCCGCGGCAGACTAATTTGTCACAAGAAAATATTGCGATGGGACATAACGTGCGGTTCATGGAAGACCAGTCTCCCATCTGAATTACTGGGGAAAGACGTGGCATGCCGTCAGGCGTGTCACATTTAATATATGTTGTGTCCCAAAGCGCAGCATTCTCAAAAGAATGGAGGCTTCCCAGTTTCGCCGAGTGCTCATCTGTCGAAGAAACATGCGAAGATGATGTGGGTGTGTGCTGGAGCATTTAGACAGATGCAAAATAGGGTATCTGGAACCCCATTTTAATTCCCGCCGAATTAAGTACTGGATAAATTCCAGATGTCTCCTGAGTATGTAAGTATTGTGTTTCTCACCAGCTGCCCCATTAAAAATTGCGATCTGCGGGCAGGATGAGGTCACTGTGTTCGACCACACTCCACATGTCCTAAGAGATACCTAAAAGGTCTCAATCGGAATCACAACCTCAGATGTCACTATCAAAGTGTGGAGTGGGACAGTCTAGTAGGGTAGCCTTCTGTGTCAGAGAATATTAATCAAGCAGCAACGGTCATCCTACACATTTTATGATCTCGAGTCCATGGACAGATTTATTCAGCCGCTTGTGAATCCCTTCTAGGCTGATCTTCCTTCTGCAGTGAGGGTGATGGAAGACTACAGCCTAAAAGTCAAGGTGAGGCGGAGCGAAACTGTTGAAAACCCGACGAAAACACCCATGATCGGAGTGTCTAAAAGTTTGTCTGGGACACTGGCACCGAACTGGCGCAAAATAAATTCCGGTCGCAGTGGGCGTAAGACTTCAAGTTTCGAGAGACGAAAGCGCTCAAACCACTCCCTGTCAGTGACGCCCCCAGATCCGTGCCACCGAGGCCACATGCGTGACCGGAATCGTGTTTTGCGTGTGTCGCTTTTCGTTTCTCAGGGTTGACTGCAAACCCATTATTCATCGCCCAGTTTTGAAGTTGGGCTTGATCTACTTCTACGGGAACTCTTCCCTCATGACTTATGGTCTGTCTCCATAGTTTCACATTGTCCGCAAATGGGAGGACTCCGGAATAAACCTACCGAGGCAAGTCACCTACATACACTGAGAAAGGAGCAGACCATACTACTGAACTCTGAGGAACTCCATTCGAGATTTCTATCCCCCCCGTATATAGAATAGCTTACTCGAACACAAAATGACTGGCCGCGAAAATACAAAGACAAGGAGTCTGTCCGAGGTGGGCGGACCACGACAAGCCCTAGATTATCACGAAGGCAGACATGCCTAGCACGATCGAGCACTTTATAAAAGTTTAGGCAAATCAAACCCACTTCGCCTCGACGGTCGACAGTACAGGTCCTCTTATCTACTGAGGTGGACAAGCTGGCAATACCAGAACCCGTTATTTCATTGAAAGGTATGGATAAGAGAGTCACCGACATGTTGATATTCAATCTTCTTCGTTGACCTCCCTTGAAGACTGGCGTTAGTTGAGTCAACTTCCAAATATTAGGCAACGCCCTCTCACCCGAGGGATCTTGAAGTAATTTATCGAGAGGTTAGGCCAAGAGCAATGCTCCTTCACGCAGAACAACTCTACGGGTGCCACGTCCGAAGAAACACATACAGGAAGGGAAACTATTCCCGTAGAAGCGGAATAGGCATCTGGCTGCAAGAGTCAGACCAAGTGGCAGGAATACCACAAGTGAACCGCCAAATTGAAACTGCAATAATAGCCCGTCGTTACAACCCTGAGCGGAGTGAGATGACGCTTGGGGGAAAGTAAATCAAGACTTAAAAAACGGCAAACCACGGCAAAGGAAAAAGAAGCGTGAAAGGCGAATACAAGAGCAATTCTATCGGAAGAGAGAAAATGACACGGTCATCCTTATGGGATTGAACACTGAAGGAGCAGGAAAACATGCAGTTAGATTGTTCGAATAAAGAGCCGAAAATAGGTCAGGTCAGGTGAACACGACTGCAATGGCTATGCAAAAGAGAGTTCCCCGACACATCGACGGACATTTTTCACCAGTTTGCACTAATTTATGTGTCAGTGGCAGACCTCCAGCCACAGCGAAATGGTTTAACATACAGCTGTCTGTTCGCAGAACTTTCGAATGCTCCCGTGATGTTGTGTCTCATATATTTGCGACCTCACCTGGAATACTGCATCTGGGCGATTCTACTCTTAGGAGGATCCGCGACCCATATTTTGCACTTCGTATCCTCACCGGTGATCTGAGGATCAGTGTACCCAGGTTTTGTCCCCCGACGCTCAAATGCCTCTGATGTTACCACAAGAAAGTCCAAAACCACGGTGCTCAACGTGAACCTATGCTTCTCTCGAGGACTGTCGAGGACTGGGACGTCACAGCAAGTAACATCAGTACCTTTGGTGAGTGCATTCAAAGGGGAACAGAATCTCCACGGTGGAACTTATTGAAGTGATCAATATTAGCCAAATTAGACCATCTCACTAATTTCTGAAGACCGAGGTTACATTTTGCAAAAGTAGGCGCGCTTTATGGTTCACTGAGGTACTTCATTGCCATAGGGGTGGGGTGAATGCGGCAACTTTTTCCATTACACCACGTCCTATTTTCAGTTTCACGCCTAAATGTGGCACAATTTGGTCAGTAGGTGCACGTCCGCCAATCGGTTAGCTACCCAGTGCTATCATCTATGGAGACTGGCCCAATCCAGGTTCAAATTCCCAGGCGCAAGGACAATGTTAGGTTATCCTCCAGATTCGGGGCCGCGATTGAACCGGATTGTAGACCTAGGACTTACACAATATGAATTTTATTTTGGCACTAATTATGGGCTTCCAGTATCGTTAGATGAATACTCTATTTACCAGATAACACAGCGAAATTTCAAGAGGCATGTAGCACAACTAGTGAAAAGGGGTGATGCTGCTCAACCGGCTAGTACGAACACCTGTCGATTTCAACTCCTGTACAGACACCAAACTAAAAAATGTATTTGTACTTTAATTTTAACGTACCCATTCAAAAAGAGGTGTTTTTTGGTGGAAAATATAATGGTCATCAGCATCTGTTAACCACTTGATTAACAGTTGACCAGTAGCATCTTGTCGGCTAATTACGATTGATGATTGTAAGATGGTTAGTAGTGATCAAGTCAGTCGGCTCCACTCGCAACTGTATGCTGACATCGTTCGCTTCCATATCCCTCTCGAAAATCTATGAAGACTTCATGATCATGGGTGTAAACGAGTTTTAATATTGCAGTATTTATGTTGGGCTTCTGGGATTGCTTAGCACAGGACTGATTTGCCGGAAGTATTGACAGCATAATTGCAGAAATTCTTCAGGCTGATATCAGCCTATCGTGTGACTATACTGCGGTTAAACGTGGCTGTATATTGGTCCTGTACCATTCTTGTATGACTGATCTTGGAAAGATGGCCGGGTTACTGGAGCGATAATATCAATTTGAAGCTGAGAAGGTAAAGGATACTGCATTTCTCCATCATCCCACCATTAGATCTACCTTTCTTTAAATTCCCCATATGATCCCACCTGATATCGGGTTTCCAGTAGGAAGTAGAGAACTTAAATTTACCATTCAACACTTGTTCTATTCATCTATCTCATTTTTGATGTGTTCGAGGAGTCAGCCCCTCTCAACTAGCCAAAACAGTTGATTTGATAAACTGAGATGATAGATAACTTGCAACGGCTTTATCACTGTCTTATTCATAGCTATTACCGATGATTTATAAACAGTATACGAAAGTAGGATGTAATTTCGGCCACTGGCTGTCGGTATGTCTATACCTAGATATGTATATAGCGGATTTCGCACATGAGATTCCTTTTTAATTGTTTTTATACATTGGAATTCCAACCTGCAAGTCACGCGTTTGAGCCCTCACCAAGGAAGACTTGGTTAGACAGGTAGTACCACTAGCCCTTAGATGTTGTGTGTCTCTGTTGTGCACTAAGCTACACGTGATCCCTGAGTTGCAGATCCGTAGCTTATCCCCTTTAACTTGGAATACTTAAAAGTAGCCAGTAGTTCGAGAGTTCAGAAGAAAGATGATTTTTCAGTTTTACCACTTCAATTTTCAGCTCCTGACAAGAAAACCTGTATTGTATATAGTATACGGAGATAAAATTTGATGATTTTAGTTTGAAAAGCATATATTACAGAGGGAATATGTGGGGGTGATTTTCACTTGAACCCCTAGTGTCTAACTTCACCAATGATGTTTACAGGTGTGAACGTGATTACCTAGTTGTTTTTCGTTTTCCTATTTTGCAGATTATGCACCCAGTTTGGGAGATCGCTTTCTTCACTTGATGACCTGATTTCAGGTAGTCCAAGGGTAGTTTTTATCTTGTCTTTAGCTTCATTTTGAGATGCTAAGCTTCTGGATCTATTTTAAATTTGCCTAGTTTATAATGTCTGATGATCGAGGGAAGTTTGAAGTAATAGAGTTGTCGATGCTGAAGAAGCACATATTTTTTCCACTCTCCGGTTTGGGGAATTTCACTGCACAAACTGTACTTTATCCATTTGTATTACTTCGCACGAGACTCCAACTGCAAGAGGGTGCTCAGGTCTATCGTGGTCTTATGCACGCTATTTCTTCTGTTATCAGAGAAGAAGGATTTCGAGGATTGTATAGTGGCTACTTTATTCGACCATTTCACATCTTCTCAAGTGAGTAAATTTATTTTCACAAACCTTACATTTCAAAGTGACACAACCATGTTCTGCAGGAAATATTTCTAGATGTGTAAGCTGGGACAGTGGTCACGCTAGTCTTTGAATTGGTTTAAATATAGCTTACTTCTGGGTTCATGAAGTGAAATGCACTTCAGCAGCCACGTGCACGTCCGTGCAGTGGGCAAAGGGCCACATGTGTTTTTTGAGGGCTTATAACGCTATTTATCTGTCCAAACAGCAGAATGAGATGGGGTTTGATGTCATTAGTCGTTCAGTCATTTCTACTTTTTTACTCTGAATTCCGCTCCAGGATTTCATATCCCACGTAGTATCTTTTGCATTGATATGAATTCACTTAAGTATAACTTTTAATGACACCTTTCACCAAACTCTTGCAGCAACGTGGAATCTGTTTCGTTTTACCCCATACTGATTCAATGTCTTCCCACTTAATGAGGTGAATTTGTAGGCGGAACTTGAATTACTTCGACATCAACAGGCACGCGGCCAAATAATTTTGCCACTTTCTTTTCTCAGCCATGTAGTTGTGTCCTTTGTCATAGAAGTGATCGTATTGTTTGCAAACGAATTGAAGACTGAGGGTTTTGAATATCTATGATCTGAGACTTGTTGCATCCGTCTTCTAAACTTGTTTTTTTGACTTATTTGTCAGTCATCGATTTATCAGTCTGTTACAACTAATATTTAAGATATTAACTACTATCATTTTTCACTTCTGCGGATTTTGCCATTAGCTGATTCATGGGCAGGTGGTCTGGTTTCTTTCAAGTCGTAGACATGGAGCACGTGTGTGTTCATGCACATGGAGCCTAAGACCTCTGGAAAACACAAGCAAGCGTGAGAAAATTCAGGTTGTTTGAGTGAGGTAGTTATTGTTGCTATATGTCTCATCTGAAATGTTTTGCTACGGCCAACATATTACCTTTAAGAATATGTTAGAGAACAACGTAACATCATTCTATTTGTTGACAACCTGAAGATGTGCTGATAAATCCAGGTTTTACTTATCATTCACTACCCTATGTTGCAGAAATGACTTTTAAGGAATTGTCCTTACGCAGTCTTCATAGATGCAGACACTAATCATTAATTTTTCCCACTCGTGGAAGACCCATGAGTGCTAGGAGGAGAGGGAATGCAGAGGTATAGCTATGTAGGGATAGTATATTTGCTGAGTGCTGATGCTCTTCGACTAACTGGCTAGACGACAGGGCTGATGTGGTGGGTTTCGATCGCTTGTTTCATTATTTTTAAATCGTGTAGCAAAGCTAGTATTTTGAGTGCCTACCTAACTATTCAGTTGTACTGTTTACAGTTCCTTAATACGTAACTTTGTTTTCATCTGTTGCGAAATAAACAGGTGTTAATAATTTTCTAAGTGGCATCATGAAATGTTCTGTTGATACTATGAACAATATGCTTATATACATTGGGCAGATTGTTAAGATTTGTTAGGACTTTCTGCAGCCTGTTGTCTGCCTTGTCAGTGGACCGTCAGAATCTTGTAAGGTATGTATTTATGTGTTATTTTCAAGTGCTGGTGGTGATTTGGTTATATTTCTAATCATAGGTTCACAGCTGTGACGAAATGCGCCTGGTCACCTTTTGCGCTCTTGTGGTTAGCCTTCTCGTAGAAGGTTGGGTATATATTGCGTCGATGCAGAAACTTATTCTCTAGAGTTGCAAAGCTGTGGATGTACTGGGGTTCACTTTTCATTACGGTTGTTTGTGTGGAATTTCTAGTATCCATCAACTGTTATTGAGAAATGAAGTTAATGAACTCTTCGTGTGATTTATCTTTGGGACTACTCTACTGGTGACTATGAGCATCGCCGTTAGAAGTGAGAGATATGGAGGGGCTGCAAGTTTTCGATCGTAGATGTCCTCACACCATTGCTCGCATTTGGTGACATCTCAGTGTGAGCAATTTGGACAAGCTTAAATATTGTCTTCGTATTAACAAAAAACCGGGTTTGTTTCTAGACACTACAGGTATTACCTGGAGAAAAATAAAGCTTGAAGCTAATAGTTCCATTGTAACAGTTTCTACTTTTTGCTTGAGATGATGGTGAAAAGTTTATGGATTATTTACATATTGTACTTCACTAATGATTCCAAGACTGTATAATTCATCCATGTTAACACCATTCCACAGCGAATGTTCATAATTTTGATGAATGTTATGACTGAAAGCTAGATGTCTTCACTTTTCCAACTCCAGCATCCAGAAGCAGCAGGCTTGTTTGAATGCACCAAATGGGCTTCCAGAACATCTTGTCCTTCGTTTTCACGGGTCGTGACAGCCTTGCAGTTGGCAAATGTTGGACTTTGCTGGTCACTTTTACAATGAGTGAATCAGAGATTTTGATAACTATGGAGTTGTAGTCCAGTGAACATCTTTTATTTCTGCCTGTTGTAGTTAGGTATTCTAAACGTGGCAAATCTGGATACCCTCCATGAAGGGTAGTCTCAGCCATGGTCATTCCTAAAGTAATTAATTCTCGATGGCAACAAGGCCAACTTTGAGGACTGAATAATTTTCTTACAACGCGAAAAAAACAGACAAAGCAGAAGGCGGAGAAAGCAAGAATTTTCACAAGGAGTGTTTCCTATGTTCGAAGACGATCATGTTTCTCCCTACTTAACTTCCATTGCTATGGCTTTCATTGTGTATCCTTTTTCTATAGAGTATTTATAAATATAAATTTCATGCTGTCATGTGGTGTAGGATTTCTGTTTTTGATTACCGTGTTGGGTGGGGTAGAATATGCCTTTAGTTTGAAGTGGTAACTTATGGAAGTCTCCTCAACGCCTCGTATGAAAGGTCAGTGTACGTGTGGTGGCTCCCATTATACATTAAGAACGCCGAGTATTCAAAGTGTCGTGAAAGAAACTGTTGGTGTATTTGGTAAGCCGCAGAGGTCAGCCAGTAACCGACCAAATCCAGAGGTTGATTTAGAGGCTTTCACTTTAGCTGGAAATCTGTTCCACAACTGAGAGAATTTGACGGCAAAGAAGTTCGAGCGCAAGCAGGACTTGAACGACTTCATTTTGACGCCACGGGCGTGGTTGTGCAGATCGTAACAACTGTTGTGTTTGAAATGAAACTCACCACTGGCTGTAAAAGTGTGTTTATGTAACACATTAAAGGAGAAAGTCAGGTTAATTTTGAGTCGTCTCATCCAAAGTGTTTCTAGACTTAGTGTTCTGCATCTGGAGCTGTAGTCCTGTTTGCAATCGTGTCCTAACAATCTAGCTGTGAAATACCTTTGAGCACCCTCCATTTTATGTTTGTCTATTATGCGGATACCACGCAGTATAAATGGACAGTATTCTAAAAGTGGACGTACTCAAGTTTTGTAGGGTAGCCACTTGACTTCTTTGAAGGAGAAGTTACGAACTATGCAGCCCCCAGGATCCTAGATTTGTGAGTCTGTGATGCTATCTGTTCCGAAATAGTGAGGTCCCTTGAATATCTTAGTCCAAGGTCACATACACTTTTAAGAACAGGAAATTTCGTAGACTGAAGATTTAGTTGGACATCCACCGATGGCGCACCAAAACATATCCGGCCACATTTGCCCATACTGAACTGAAGTTTCCAAGCGGTAGACCATGCGGATATTATATCGAGCTCCTCTTGGTATTAGTGCTTGGGAGTGGGATAAATTAGCACGGGTGAATGTGCATGCAACTTTCAGGTCATCAGCAAACAAGGGTGGTTTACCGAATGTAAAGCAGCTGCAGATGCCATTGACGTATAAAGTAAAGAGAAGGGGGCCTAATACACTGCCTTGAACAACACCAGAGGTGATTGGCCTAGGTTTTGAAGTGTGTGATTCCACCTTCACCACTTGAGTGCGATTACTGAGGAAAGACTTGATCCGTCCCAATAGTGGACAGTCAATTCCCATAGTCGTCAACTTACTTATTAACAGCGAGTGATCGACTCTGTCGAATGCCTTTGAAATGTCTGGGTAGAATACAAGGACTAATTGGTGTCGGTCGCGCACAGTGGTTATGAAGTTAAAGAAGTCAAGATGGCAAGTTATACAGGACCTCGATTTTAGGAACCCACGTTGATTCGATGTGATGATGTTGCACTAAGCATGCGCCGAAGAATGCTTTCTTTAATAACTTTCTCTATAATTCTAGAAACTACAGGCGTAATATTGATTGGTCTGTAGTTACTGGCTAGTGTTTTGAACCAGATTTATATCTAGGGAGGATAAATGGTGTTTTCTATATGCCAGGGTATGTGGAAGATTCCACAGAGAGAGAAAATATTTTAAGTGATAATAATGGAATATCAGGGCCACCAAATTTAAAGAAATGTGATGATATTCCGTCTGTGCCGGCACTGCTGGAGCATTTTGGCGTCCTAATGACTTGATGAACATTAGGGCATGTGGATTCAACCGTATCTATTGTCGTTAGTTGGGGAGGAGAATGACGTTTAGAGGTGCAGACCGCACTAGTGTCACACGAAAAATCTATAGGTACCAGATAACTGACTGCAAATAAGTAGCTGAATATTTCACACACATCCACCGGATCATTATAAGCTTTGGTATCATGGATAAGAAGAGGAATTTTATGTCTTGTGCAATTCGATCGCTTCTTAGGGAGTGCTGAGAGAGCATATACCCTAGATGAGCTAGCTAGTGCACGGCTCTCTTCATTCTTCAAACGCAAATCGTGGTTATGCGAGATAGAGTCAAGGGTATCAAGAATCAACCGAAGTGCATCGAATTTGTGATGTCTGTAGTATCTTGTTGAGAGTTTGCGTAACTTCCTACGGGCATTGGGAGGTATATGTGGCTTATTGTTTAGTGACATTTTTTTGAAACCTTTCAGTGAAACGATGGTATCGAGACAGGTTTTAGAGTTGTAGTAAAACATATCAGTGGTTAATTTGAGGTCTGTAGTGGTGAAGACTGATCCCCGGTCAATGCACCCAATCTCCGGACACATCCGCCGCCAATCCGTTCTACCGTAGTCTCTACATACTATTCGGTGTGTAGTGGAAGTACCAGTTGCAGGAAGTGGCAGTGCGCATAATACCGCTTTGTAATCACTTCCTGGGAACTTGGAGCCCACATTTGTCAAAATAGGATTTATGTTGTGGCAAAATATTAAGTCCAATACATTGTCACCTCTTGTAGGAGTTGTAACAATTTGCCTCCATCCAAAAATAGACAGTGTATGGAAAAAGTTGTCACACCTAGCCGGACCAGTAAGTGAATCCCACTTAATTTCAGGTAGGTTAAAATCACCGCATATGATCTTATGATCATACGGGAGAGTGGATGCATGTTCCAGAGCAGTAATCAGTGGAATCTCGTGATTGTTAAAGGTACTAGGTGCTCTGTAAACACATTCCACCAGTGCTGTAGCATTTCTGTAGTGTACTGTGACCCATAGAGAGTCGCTTACTTTATCAAGAACTATGTTTTCCAACTTTAATACAATGAGCGTTCGGGAAGTACATCAGGCAACCTCCTCCATTCTTGTTCCTCCGGTCACATTAGAATTGTGTATGAATGTCAATACTTATCTCTCCATCTGGTATATTTGCGTGACACCAGGACTCAGTGAAAATTATTACCGGCGGCCTAAATATGAGCGTGATCCCTCTTAATACCGATAGTTTGCTAGGGATGGACCCTGCGTTTATGAGAATGGTGTACAAGTAGGAGCAGTAATAGTGTGCAAAACTTATAGTTGGCTAAACAAGCCAAAAGGTGCCTCGGTGTCGCTTGACTGAGTATAGTTTGACGTCGTTGCGTTACAGAACGTCCCTACACCTTGTTCACTTGCAGCTGTAGAGTTACTAGGATATCCTAGTGGTAAATCGACCTCACAGTGACTTGAAATAGTATCACCTTTATCAGGGGAGAACAGAGCAATGCTTTTATTCGTGTTCAGTGTGCACATTGTATCCAAATAAACAGAGTCTGACCTCATGCAAGCGTCGTCTCTAGTATCTGTTATACAGAGGGTAGGTAGTTTTACTATTGCACGTGGTTGGTGTGTAGGGCTGGTGATACCACTTGGAGGATTCAACAAATCTGTTGTGCTTTCGCATCTGTTGACACCACTTAAATAGTTGGTGTCTAAGATTTGTGTGTATGTTTGACTGTGTCTTTTCTGTTTCTCCAAGGGCGCTAAGATTAGCGGTTCAGAGTAAGGGGTTTCAGCATCCCCATCAGTTGCTTGGCCAAAGCTGCAGCTGATAGGGATGTGATGGATAAAAAATCATCGTGTTTTTGTGGTCCAAGTAAACTTATGCTCTGCGTTGTATTCCTTACCAGTGACTGCCTTCTGCTACGATTCACAACGGACGTACCTGTCGTTATGTTGGATCGGGGGCTGTCTCCCAGTAAACTAGTGCCATGCAGCCGACCAAAGTTTTTCCTCACGAAGTACCCCAGTGACATTCTATTATGGGTGGTGTGATGTTGGCTTTTCTCATTAGTAAACTATAGGGTTGGGTTGTTGTGACGTCTATTTTTGTTCTCGTTACTAGTGAGACTTAGCTCAGTGCATAGAACCTTCTTGGTGGAGCTACCGTTCGTACTCCTGTCAATTTCAGAAGGGATTACAGGATCACTTCGGATCATTATATGCTTTCTGCGTCCGTCGCTATGTGATGGGTTCCATGGGAGCGTTGGTTTATCTGTTGCATATCCAGTAGCTGATATCCTAGGACCTAAGCTGATGTGGTTAGTAGACTTTAGGCCACCAGCAGACCTCCGCGAGAGTCCTGTCACGCTTAGTGCTGTATCAGGTTTCACTCTGGGGTTTTCTATGGATACGTCTAGATCTACAGTTTCAGGTGGTTGAGTCAAATCCTTTGCACTGATACGAATCTACTTGAGTATAACTTTTAATGACACCTTTCACCAAACTCTTGCAGCAACGTGGAATCTGTTTCGTTTTACCCCATACTGATTCAATGTCTTCCCACTTAATGAGGTGAATTTGTAGGCGGAACTTGAATTACTTCGACATCAACAGGCACGCGGCCAAATAATTTTGCCACTTTCTTTTCTCAGCCATGTAGTTGTGTCCTTTGTCATAGAAGTGATCGTATTGTTTGCAAACGAATTGAAGACTGAGGGTTTTGAATATCTATGATCTGAGACTTGTTGCATCCGTCTTCTAAACTTGTTTTTTTGACTTATTTGTCAGTCATCGATTTATCAGTCTGTTACAACTAATATTTAAGATATTAACTACTATCATTTTTCACTTCTGCGGATTTTGCCATTAGCTGATTCATGGGCAGGTGGTCTGGTTTCTTTCAAGTCGTAGACATGGAGCACGTGTGTGTTCATGCACATGGAGCCTAAGACCTCTGGAAAACACAAGCAAGCGTGAGAAAATTCAGGTTGTTTGAGTGAGGTAGTTATTGTTGCCATATGTTTCATCTGAAATGTTTTGCTAAGGCCAACATACTACTAGTCAATCGTGTGACTTACGAACCTGACGTAACCTCTCGCTTCCCTCTTGTTCAAGGAAATTCTGTCCGTTTTTGTTGCTTCTGGTTGCTATCTGCCCCCGGGGAAATGCTGAATCTCTTGAGGGTGTACACATCTCCCTCAAACTCTGCAAACCTCAGACCACAGGTAACAGAAGGAAGCCCTGAACCTGTCTTTCAAACGTTGAAGTTACCTATATCCATCTCAACTTCAAGGTGGTGCACAGTTGGATCG